TATTATATTTACTATTTCGTCGCATTTCGTATTTACTATTAAGCCGGGACAAATCACAAGTCTTTTTTTTTGTCACTCGTTGCTTGCACCAGTCGAGACCTCCACCCCCCCGCGAAATAAAAAATAAACCAAAAAATAAATAAAGCTTTAAAAATTCATTTTACTTCACATCAAAACCGTATATTTCAAACGATTACATTACTTTTTAGCCTTCGCGTTGGCCTTATACTTCTTTGAAGCCATGATTTTTGACACTAATGCATAACGGGAGCCACACATTTTGACTTTATTATGTGTAACACTCAGGTTATCAACAAGACATTTTGCACATAAGTTTGTGTATCCTTTTAAGGTAATAACGTAGATGAATAGGCCCAAGTAACAATCTAAATGCTTGGAAGATTTATTCTTATTTTATCATTGTTTTATCATAGCATCCCTTCCAGCCTGTGGTTGTATTACGGTTTTGTGTGCTTGTCATAAAATCAGGCCGTCAAGTCGTCTATAAAACTGTTTTATGACTACTAAATTAAAACTCAGACTTCATAGTTTTAACGGTAGCTGTAAGGTGGTTCTGCATCACTACTTATAACTGAAGAATAAAACCAAAACAAAACATACAATTATGTTTTATGGTACACTTTTTATGACCGATATAAAATTTGAAGCAGTCTTAGACCTTCATTAAAGCTTCATTACAACTATCATCTTTATCAGAGGCCTAAGATTCACAGATAAGAAATATACTGCTACAACAAAAAATACTCTGAAATTTTTTGTCATTATAAAAAACAAATCTATTCAGATATATGAAATGAAAACCCCTTCAGTGCTTCTGAACACGATGAAGATGAGACGATCGACAATATGAAACTCCTGGAGGAACTACGATCCCTACATAAGGAAGGTGAAGGAGCTCTTGAAAATATTGAACAAGCGGCTTTCCGATACACTTCCGAAAGATCCACGAACCCTTCTTAAAGCAACGCCGACAGTTTCACTAAATCCGTTTGGAGATGGCCAGTATTGACATCACGGCTTTAAACCTTGTATTGAAAAAGCTTTTAGTGGATCCAATAAGCATTTCTTACATCTTGATTACAAGCGAAAATTGGAGGATCGCTTGGAATGTTGACTTTTTGACAGGTGGTCATGGTTTTTGTTTTGTTTTGATTCGCTGTACCGAATAAAACCAGCAAGCTAGTTATATAGCTTAAATATAACTTAACGCTCTCAATTTGGACTACGAAATGCTAAGATACAACCATTAGGTTTATGTTATGCTATAGAATTCCAATCTAGGAGAATATGTTATATTGAGGTATTTTTAAGGAGTAGCAAGTTATAACGAAAAAAAAATGTCGCCTTATGAACAAATTTCACACAGTATGAATAATTACGCTTTAATTGATAGGCAATAAAACACTTTCATACATCTATGTATAATTAAATAATATGTGACTGGTTATTGCTCAACAGTAGTAACAGTTTTGTACTAAATAGATAATCTTTGAATGACTCTTTAATGCATGGTGCTAATGCAGGCAAATTAAAAATATCCCTATCTTTTAGTATTCATATGGCGCACTAAATTTATGCTCCTATTTGGTATAATAATCACCATAAATATTGCACGGCATGCTGTGAAGCATATACAGATTGGTTTAAAATTATAATAAAGTCGTCTTATTTTCAATGTACAATAATATCAGCCATTATAACCAACTGACAAGGATCATGATTTCACATCAAACATCGAAAGAATAAAACCACAATAAAATATTTCTCAATATTAACTATCATCCAAAAACCCCAACTTAAAACCTTCAAAGTTGTCAAAATGTTTTGCGTATCATGTTTTATCAACTTCTTCAGGAGCGATTTATGCGGTTGTAATATAGTTTTATGGTAGTCATTAGAAGGCTGTTTAAACTTTCTGACCTGGAGGAGGTTTTATGTTTTCATTTTTAACAATCACGTCTAGAGTGTGATAAAACTGACATAAATCCTATGCTCCTAAAGTAGTTCGCATATCAAGTTTTAATGACTGCATTAAAACTGGGCCAATTGGCCATAACATGGCTGAATTGCGGTTCTCAGGAGATTGTTAAAGCAATGTGGTCGTCAGTGAAGGTTTTATAATTTGGTTATATCAACTGCTATAAAACTTAAATAAAACAAAAATTGTTGCTTGGGGGGTCAAAGAAAACTGATTTTTTGGGTTTTGATAAATTCATGAAGCAAAATACCACAAACGTTCTGTTTTCGATAGTTCCTCATTATTCAATTATTACATGGCAGGACAAGAAACCCAAACTGATATGAAATACCTACTTTGTGAAATTAAACCCAGTTTTCTCAAAACTTGTGCGTGCTTCAAAAAATCTAACTAGACGTATGGATTCAGGTAAGTCTATTCAACAAACTCCAAGCATAATATTCAAAGGAAGGAGCCGAAATCCATCTTGACTGAACATTAAAATCAAATTTTAACAAAAATACGTACTTTTGTCAATTCAAAGCACGCTTTTTGTTTGTTTACAAAAAAACATCATCACGTTTGAATTCAGCAAGGTCTATTCTATAAAATACAAGACTGTTTAAAAAAAAAGTTGAAATTCCATTCGGCAGAACAGAAAAATCAAATTTCTATGAAAATACGTTTGGATCACGCAGTTCTTTAAAATCCACGCCTATTTTTCAAAAGAAGGAACCGATATTCAACTTGGCTGAACATACATACTTTTGAAAATTCAAAGTTTTTAAAAAAAATGTGCCTGCTTCTAAAAGTTTAAATTGCAAATTTTAACCAGGTTAGTCCTTCACGTATGAATTCAGCAAGTTCAATTCTATAAAATCCAAGCACACATTTCAAACGATAGATCCTTAATCCTATCTGGATTAAAAAAAAATATACCATCACGTATCCGCTCTCAAAGGTCTATTCTATAAAATCCAGGCCTGTTTTTCAAAGGACGGAGCCAATATCCATCTTGGCCGATCAAAAAACCCAAAACTTCTATAAAAATACGTACTTTTATGGAAGTTAAGCCAGTTTTTTCAGCAATTGTCCTTACTTAAAAAATTCTACCATCAGGTTTGAACACATGAAGGTTAATTCTTTAAAATCTCAGCCTAATTTTCAAAAGATGTGAATGTCACAAGAACGAGGAAAGGGTTAAGGAGATTGGAATCTGCACACTTAGAAATAACTACTTTTACATTAGACGTTATCTATGTTGGACGTAAATCATGGAACATAAACAAACATTTCATGTTAAATTAAGTGTTCTCAAACCCAAACATAAGCAAGTCGACGAAGAGAACGTTTGATTGAATTGATTATCTCGTTTCATTCAACTGATTCTTATGTCAAAAAGGGTGAGCGTGTGTGTGTGTGTCGGTCTAAGGGAACCGAAATTCACATGACATTTTCGTAGTGTGTACGTTAAAAGTTCGTTAAATCACTTCAGGAAAGCTCAGACTAACATTAAATATAATTCAATCACTGAACAGAAAAGTTTGCACTTCCCAAGGAAGGTATGAACCACTTCAGAAAAAATTGGACTCCGTTTGAAAAAATTAAGATCAAAAAAGTGTCGGTTCATTAGGAAAACTTTCTACACTTTTAGGAAAGGTAGAGATGACCTAAACAAGATTGTGTCTTTGCCAAATGCCAAAGCAGGTAGCAAAAATCTGGGGCTCACTTAGGAAAATGTCAAACCCGCTCAGAAAAGTTTGGATTCAGTTCGGAAATAGTTTAATCAATGCAGGAATCCTTGGATTAATTTAGGAAAGGGATTAAATCAGCTAATGTGGCCTCACTCCAGAAAATTCTAAACCAATTATTTAATGCTTGGGTTCAGGATATTTTGGACCACTTCTGGAAAGCTTTGACAACTTTTAAAAGGATTGAATAACATAACAGAAAAGTTAAGACTCAGTTAAAACATGATAACGACTTATTCGAAAGTTTGAACTCACTTCAAAAAAGTTCAGACACAGTTTTGAATCTGCTTTGACCTCAATTAGGAATTTCCTGATTCGTTTCTGATTTGGTCTCCATTCTTAACATATATTAGCCTGATTAGACGTATTTTATTTATTACTATTATTATTTCCCTACAGCAAATATTTGAGTCAGAGGCCAAGGATCTCCTTTAAAAATATAACAATTATCTTCAAAAAATCAATTATTCAATTTCCTAGCCATATCCCAGGGAATATTTTTTTTTTGAAATCTCAATCTTTTCTTTAATACTTTATCAACCCAAATTTGTTGTAGTACATGTTAATTGTGTATTTTTCGAATCGGGATCAGAATCGAGGAGTCTGAGTCAGTTATTTTGAAATCATAGAAGAATGAGTAGCTGTCGGAGTCGGTCGATTTATATCCGAATTCACAGCCCTGAAAACTCGTCCAATACAAAAAGAAAAGTTGAAAATGAAGCGTTTTTCAAAAATTTCTCAAACTTCATATCGGCTCTGCCAATAAATAAAATAAACTACACAGTAAAAAAAAAAATATTATCACATCAAGGTGGATATACTTCAATCGTTTCAAAAATATGGTGTAATATTACTTGTTAAAAAGGAAAAAATATATCATTAAAATAGTGCATGAACTGATATTACGCTGCTTTTACTGCATTTGTTTATTTTTGTATCCATAAAAATTACATGAGATTTTCGATATGATTTGAGTGTATCCTCTTGGATGTAATATTAGAATTAATTTTTGCTGTGTATATTGATAAATTAATAAAAAGTTGTTGAACTCCCAGTACTTGATAGTGCTAAATATTTGTAAACGCAATAATTCTACTGTTCTCGAACACCATTGCAAATTGAATATACCATTGATGTAACCCTAGGCCGTCAACATGACCATTGAAGGCCACGGTTTAAAAGTTCACTTGTAATTAGTCTTATGACAAATAACCGCATCCTTTTTCCAACCGTTAAATCAATCGTATCCTCCTTTACCTTCTTAATTGCAGATACATTCTCCCACCACCGTCCCGACCAAAATACAACGACATACCCGTGCGACGGCAAGTCAGTCACCAGACACAGGCTGCCCAGTCAACCACAACGGCACCTGCTACCAGCTCAACTGTTGTCCCAACCGGAAAGATAATCGAAAAACCAGAGCAAAACATACAGACTCCTGTCGCGAACATCAGCCAAAATCAGCCCGCGTCGGTAGCAGCACAGCAGCAGCATATTGTTCCTAGCCTAGCCGTCCAGTATGTGCCCAACCAGGGCTTCAAGTACTACGCCGTTGTGCCGGTCCACAGCGAGAACCCCAGCAAGAGTGCTTATCTGAAAACGAATGACGTTCAGCTGGGCAAGTACGACCAGTACGACAAACCGAACGGAAGGTACAACGCCAAGCTGAAGAAGTACAAAGCCTTCGAGAAGGTGAAATACGTGCCGTACTACATGGTAAGTGGATTCATGTTTCCCTGATATGTACTCTGTTGTGATCTAACGAGCAGGTTCCAGTCCCTTTAAATATGCAAATTTGGAACACGCTGATTACCGGGTTCGTCGTTCAACTCAGCGTTGCAGTCTCGCTGGTTATGCCAAAAAAGACTTCGCAAGTGGCGTGAAAGTGTCTTGTGCTGCACTTTCGATCGAATGGCAGTGATAATGTTCAACCTGCGCACGCTTATGTGAAATTTTCCAGCACCGCTGATCCGATTCCCCGTTCCGCGCGTGATCCGCACCCGTAATCAAAATGCAATGCTGTAAAAGACCAATAGGTCGGTCGGTCGGTCGGTCAATCTATCCCTTATTATGCAAAATAGGTGTAATGCGTTCGAGAGTTCGGCGGGGCATTATATCATCGATGCTACTTTTACTTTTTTTTTCCTTTCCCGTGGTATAGGAGAGTGTTTCAGAGTCTACTACCGGCCGCCCGCCCCGCCGATGGTGGATGTAAAGGAACGGCAAAGGTATCTATTTATGAAAATGCGGTATGCAAGAATGTAACGAATTCAAAACTGAGCGCTGCTGCGATAAATGCCAGTAGCGAATAGCTCCACACGTGCGAGTCAACCGGCACCAGGCGTTAGGTACAACATAGATATCGCAAAGTATGATCGCTAAAGTGAAATGAAAATAATCTGTTGTTTCCTTTTTCGGCTAGACGTTTACTTCCATGTTTGTCGCTCGGCTGTGTTGTAATTTTTCTGGTCTATTGTTGTCGGTTTGTGTATATTTTTTAAACTGGTGTCATTTAGTTTTTGACCAAATGTAAATGATGAAATCCAGTGAAATATTTTGGCTAGACGTGATCTGGAGTTTATGAAACTCATATATGTTTACTTTAAGAATACTAACCTTAGATTGTAAGTTTGATTAACCTTGTGTTTAGTTTGTGTATTGTGCGTGTAGTTTTTTTTTATGTTTGTCTTCAAGATGAATAGAAATAAGTTCATGTTTTAGGATTAATTAAATATTTGTATAATAAATCATATCTCAAACCTCCTTCTCCCTTTCCCCATCCAAAAAATTGTAAATCTCCACTAACCTCGAGACGACCGCGAGTAATCGGTTCAATTCCTTTAACTCTAGATTTAAGACATGAATCATGTATAATGCAAATGATAACTCGGCTCTGTAAAGTTTATTCGATTGAGCCTGTACAAATAAATTAATAAAAAAAAAAAAAAAAAATCCAGTGAGAGCCAATCCTTTGACTACTTTTTCAGATTATTAATTGATTAAAAGCATTTACTTTGTATGCAGTGTAAAGACAATGAACTTAATGCTTTTCAATATCATTCTGTCGATCAATCTTGGCCAGTGGGTACGATTGGAGAAATGTTTAATCGATCCAAGAGTAAATGGAACAGATATTCAATGAGGGAAATTTTTATGAACGATCAACATCAACTTCTTGGGTTTGGCCCTGTCCCTGTGAGGATGTTGAACTATTGAGGAGAAGTAAGGCTAAAGCACGGACCATTTAGAACTGAAACAACACACTTTGCGTGTATTTCGGATTTGGGTTGATATGTTACAGAGCTGTTTTCACTCAAATATTGGATTTTATGTTTATTTCAAAGCAAATATACAGAAAAATTTTCATCGAGATTTCGAAGACATTTGAGTACTTTTCATGGCTCCCGGCTCATCTTTCTTCGTCCATTTGGTAGTTGTAATACACAGTTCATCTGACTGGGCTTTTTTCCCCTTGATTTGTTTTCTGACTACCTTGTTTTCCGTACTGAGTACCAATGCTACCGACGCCAGGGACATTTGGAGTGAGAAGCAGTAACGCTTACCACTACACCACCGGAGCCGCTTCATCTGACTGGTGTTTTTGATCACTTTAATCATTATTGGGAGCTCATTGCACACTAGATTAGAGTGAGAGGGACAGGTAGCATCAGCTTTGAATTTCCACCGTCCCTACTCATTACCTTCAGCATCTCCATTTACCAAAAATTTCACAATCAGCCTAAACTTGGAGGAATTGGGTAGGTTGAGGTCTTTGGGAGTTAATTGGATTTATTTACCCGTGATAAATCGTTGCATATCCTTCTAGAATAATAGGTCACAACTTGTGGTTTGAACTTGAGGAGGACCTCAGGGGATGGCAAAAATTGGACGCATTCAGTTCTCAGTCAAATCGTGTATTGTCGTGCACATTTTTTGGCAAATACAAATTAGCATAAGCCAGAAACACGTGCCCGAACCATGGCTTAGCAGAACTTTTGTCTTAAAAGTGGTCTGGAGCCGGCATTCGCGTTGCATGAGCATGAGCATGAGAATTATTGACCGCCCGAAGATGCAACCGTTATTACTAGATCAGCTGTAATTACACAGAGAACCTACTAGCAATCATCCTCAATGAATATATACTGGTGATCTCAAGGTTTTTGAGTGTGTTGATTTATTTCCTCTTAATTCCGTTATAATTGCTTATCTTTTGACGGATACGCTTATTTCGTCTGCTGCTTCCAGACTTCATCAGTGCCAAGTATTAGGATTTATGTTGGTAAACGATATGTTAATATGATGTCCTAAAGATTCAATGTCGCGAAGGAGCTTGGTTTTGAAACCGCGGACTTCTGCTCAGTAGAAAAAATGGTCGCCACTAGGCCACCGAGCTCTTTATTTCACAAAGCAATTAGGATCAAGTTACCGTTCAACTTGTTGTTACTTGCCGTAGTTGGTGTTGTGGTACGCGTGACTGCTTTTTCACCCCAATGGGTTCAATCCCAGCCGAGGTCGGTGGGATTTTTCTGAGGCATAAAAATCTCTGGTCACGTCTTCCTTCGGAAGGGATGTAAAGCCGTTGGTCCCGGCCCATGTGTGCTGAATGGGTGCGATATCCTACGCAGGTGTGGAAGCTGCCTTCCTGCACATTAGATTGCCGTCGATAGATGGCAATCGATGTCCGTCGGTGATTGGCACTAGATTGCGGAACAGAGACCGACGTTAAATAAAGAAATGAAGAAGTTGTTGTTACTAGGTCTCGATCCCGGCTGCGACCTATCCGATAACGACAACATCTACTCTTGAGAAGGATTTAATATGGATTGACGATCAACACGTCTTTTCGAAAACTCGAATAATACTTCTTTAACGTACCCGTCCTTTCAATCGAATTTCATTACATTTTATATAGAATTACTAAAGCAAGCCGATTAAAGTATACTCTATAATATGAAAGAGCTTGGGATTGAACCGATGATTTTCTGCTAAGTAAGCTACATCGGTCGGCACAAGGCCACCGAGTTCCTCATTTCACAAAACAATTACGACCAAGTTCCTGTTCAACTTGCTGTTACTAGATTTTGATCCCGGTTGTGACCTCACCGACGATGATAACAACTACACTTGAGAAGGATTTGTTATAAATTTCCGATCAACAAATTTCTTATTTCCTTAAACTCGAAAATTATTTCATTTAAGTACTCGTTCGTCCAACCAAATATCGCTTTATCTCATATTAAGAAACTAATCCGATTAGGCGTTAATGTTAACGTCAGCATTGTTACGGTATACTTCGTAGATCGGATACTAGTGACACTCACTTCTCTTTCGAATTTCTCAGTCAGACTGTTTTCAGGAATAATGCTGGGGAGTAAACATTGAGTCCTATTTAAACAAGGATACCAAAAGCATGACTGTCGCTTTTCCCAGACACGCCCATCTTTACCATAACTAGGAATAGGGAAGGAAATGTTGATGTAGTACTTGCTCAACGAGAGACCACCAACTTAGCGACACCCCCATAAGTGCTAAGAAGCTAGACATTTCGGTATGGTATCAGGTCGGGATTAGCCTCAAGCTGGTGATACGACCAAATGCATATGTTGATTTTGTGTTGCTCATTTAATCACTCGACAGCCAACTATCGAAACAGTAGGGTCAACTACCCCATTCCCGGCCTATTAAGCACAACTTGCACTTAGTTTTTCTTAATCTAGCGTAGTTTGACACCAAACGGAATGTTATCATTACAGATGGCTTCTAAATTTATTTTCCATACGTAACGTTAGTTCTGATAAGGGGTCACGAAATATTAATTTATTGTTGAAAATGTAACACTGCTTCTGGCGGCTCAACTTGGCAATCGGGTTTTTTGGCCTATTAGGCATTGAAACACCATTGGGATTCTCTTTGGCCTATCGAACGGAAAGAAAAGTAAATTCACGTGCGCCTTTTGTACACTTTTGTTTTCGAGATCTTATTTTGCGTTCTTCAATGCTTCGTATTGTAGCTATTGAAAAGAAGCATCGTACCAATTGTTTGTTTGACAACTTCACGCCGCAATAATAGATATATTTGATGTTTTGTGCTCGATAGACCGGGAATGGGCGATTAGGCCGAAGTAGATGTTTCCCCTATATTCATTATATTTAGTGTGTTTGCTTTTTAGGGTTCATGCTTACCGAGAAGTAAGGAATAGTTCCAATGCAATAATGATTTAAACATTTCGACTTATGGTTATTACAGCGCTTTATACTCTCGAAACCCGGCGATGGTGATTTATTATATTTTGGAAGAGCTTTTGATTAAACCCATGATGTTCTGCTCAGTAAGCAAAAATGATGCCTTCAGGGTCATCGACCATGTTAAAACTACAACGCTCTACAACAGAGATACGCGATAATTCATATAGTTTCTACGGTTGAGGGTTAGTTTTAAACATACGAATGGTACTGCCAACGACGATGATGACGACGATGATGATGATGACGATTTCTACGTAAATTTAACATTTCTTGCAAATTCACAAAGTATTTAACATGAGATTATCATGTTTAATACTTTGTGTACAAAATAAATAAAGTGTTAAGATACGTTTGATGTGATGTAATGGAAAGCCACCGTCAGTGCAAGAATCTCCGTGACTCGTGGTTCCTCCTGATAGATCAATATGTGATTTCGTCAATTCACTCCTGCATGAAGGTCCACAACGGAGG